TTAGAAATGCAGCTGCAGGAAAAAGACAAAGAGGAGACATATGGATGCAGTTAAAGAGGACATGGAGGTAGTTGGAGTGAGGACACAGAGGACACAGTAGACAGAGATGGAGGACGATGACTCGCTGCATGTGGAGACCCTGAAGAGGGAAAAGCCAAAAAAAGAAGTGTTTATATAAATGTAATAAAACTGAAATTTTGCTTGCATGTAAAATATTAGAGTATGAATGCATCTTTTTCTTCATAAGTTTTATGACCTATTCAATTTTCAAAGTGAAAGAACTTTGATGCGTTGCAGATATTTTTTTCTTCACTTCTGACAATTTTTAATTTTAGTCTTTTTAAATATTTTTCATTTTTAAGTTAATTACATTTTTTCTTTCAGAATAGGTGTTTGGGGGCTGTTGAAGGCATTAAAGGGACGTAGAAGATGGTTTTCACAATTCAATTGATTTGTGACCAAGTTAAATATTAACCAGAAACTAAAGTCTCTGAGAATGTCAGGAGAGGTTTCAACTGTTTCACTAATAATTTGCTGCTAGTATGATTTTAATGTGCAGTTAGCTGTAGATTTATACATCATTGTGTAATGTCTTCTTCTTCTTGTGTACAATTTGTTAGGTTGTTCTCATATTTAATGAGAGGAGTGATGTGGAGAACCTGTTCTCCAGAGAAATGCTAACAAACATGCCTGTGGCTCAGATTCATTCTGATTTATTCAAAGCAGCAGTGATCCACAGTTTGTACGGATGAGAAAAAACATCTTTACAGTTGGACACGTGAATCACATTTCAGGCAAAGCTGCCAACAGAAATGACACACCTGCTTACATCTGTTCTCTTGTGTCTTTTGCACGTGTGGAAATGCAGATTGGCTTATTGAAGGCATAAATAAAAAAAGGCAACATTAAAATTATATTGCACACATTTTCTTTTCTGAAATACTGTCACAGAGAGCACGATTTCTTTGTACATCACAGTGCAAAATAAATAAGGCAAAGATTAAAAAAGCAACATCAAATATAAAAAAATACATTCATTAGTGTCAGTTCTTTACACAAATATAATGAAAATAGCTTTATTTATGTCACATGTACGTGTTAAAAGTAACGTTTAGAACATACAACGTGCAAATTTGCAAATATATCCACACAAACTCGCATAAGCTTTGATATGAAGTGAGCAGATGTTATTCATGGGTTTAATTTCCTTTCATGGTCTATTTTAAATAGATATTAGAGCTTATGTGCACCCAAAAACAGAGATTCTGGGTGCACAACAGTAACATTGAACAGATTCTTAAAGAGGAATGTCGGGTGTTAAGAAAACACTAAGCCTGAGAACTTGTTTCGTGTGCATCCAGTGACATTTGTCCACATTTGAACCTTTTACATTGAAATATTTTAGACAAAAAAATGCTCCGGTGTCACAAAAATCAAACTGCAGAAATTCAGCAATTGTTGCGTGTGCTCTTGTGTTGTTGTCATTATATAAATCCAGTTCAATTACAAATGTGCACACCCCCACTCCACAAAAAACAAAGAATAATAAAGACCCTGTTCTTGACTCGGGGTTCACCTCCACACAAGTCAAAGTCACTCTTTGGCAGAAAAGGCAAAATCACTTCAGCTTTCACATTTGACTTTTACCAGGTTTAAAGGCTTCTCTCAAGACTATGTTACAAATAAGTACACGTTGTTGATTTATTTGTACGAATGAAAACAAAGAAAATAAATGTAATTTTAACTGTGGATAGTGTCATTTTCTAAAAAAGATTTGTCGTCAGTAAGACCAAAGGTAATGCACATCTGCTGTAAAGCTCTGTGCAACAACTACAATGACATTATTATCTAATCTTAGTTTTAGTTCATTGAAATGGTTGGATTTTTCAAAAAGACAGTATTTGAAGATTATTTCTACTGAACCAAATATAATGTATCTACAGAAAAGTTGTTACAAACCTACGTCTGAAACAACCTGACCTATGAAACCAGAATCCAGTGCCTCGTCATTTACAGCAGTCCTTTTTTATAATTTTATCTCCACTTTACAGGAAACTTAAACACAACAGAGCATGTGAGCAGCAGAAAATCTCCTTAAAGGTTTTTCTCATCTCTTGGCTACGAAAGGCGTAGATGATGGGGTCGATGACGGAGTTGCACATGATGAGGATGAGGTACATGTTGAAGTGGGACATGAAGCAGGTGCAGTAGGGGTTCCTGGGGCAGGTGATCATGAGGATGAGGTGAAGGAAAAAGGGTGCCCAGCACACCACGAACACCCCGAGGAGGATGGTGAGGGTGATGGCACCTTTCATGTTGGCCCTCTGCTGAATGGGTGCGTTGCCCGGCAGCGCCGCGATGCGCTTCATGTGCAGGCGCGCCAGCAGGAACATGTGCACGTACAGCGACGCCATAAGGACCAGCATGGTGAAGAACATGGTAATGAGGCAGATAAGAACAGTGGTGCTTTCAGAGTAGATGATGAACAGGATGCCAGAGATGGTGCAGCACGTCCAGATGGTGCTGATGACCAGCATCGCGCGCCGTAGGGTCACGATGTTGTGGTATCGCAGTGCGTAGAAGATGGTGATGTAACGGTCAACAGCGATTGCGAGCAAGCTGCAGATGGACGCTAACAGGGAGCTGCAGATCATCGAGTCAAACACATTGTCCATGCTTTTAATCAACGTGACGGGGATCGTGAGGCTGCCGCCGTTAATCAGCGCTATCACGATCGTCTCTGAAGCATTGGAGACGCTAACAAGCATATCAGCAACAGCAAGGCTGCAGATGAAGAAGTACATCGGCGAGTGAAGGTTCTTGTTTTTGATGATAGCAGCAACAACTAGGATGTTCTCCAGCAGGCTGATGATACCCAGAGTGAGGAACACCTCTGTGGAAATCAGAAGCTGCTCGTAGCATCCTGTAGACGAGTCCTTCTCCTCTCCGGAAAAGTCTTTGTCGAGCGACGAAGTGCCTGAGGTGAGGCTCCTGTTAGGGTAGCCTGCAATCAATCCATGTTGAGCTGTGGAGTTCATGCTTTAAACTCCTGTCTCCACAGGGTTTGGTCTTTTTTCTGCACTGCTGGGAGTCCTAAGATCTCAGCATGTGTGGCTTTGAACCACCGTCATTACCTGGTCGACACCAGCGGCTCCTTAGAAGAAGCAGAAGAAAAAAATCTCAGTGTACACACTTTCCAAGAGAGGCACTTTCTTTGAAATCGTCTGCTGTTGTTTCAGTCACAACCAAAGACAATCCCTCAGCTCTGATGAGGTATGGGGTGGAAATAAGTGCTCCCCAAAACCACGTGGGGAAGAGAAGAAAAGCAAAAAAATGTGTGAGGCTGAAAAATAATGAGCAGGAACATGAGAGGCAGAGAGCAGCAGCTTGCTGTTTTACCGAAAGGCAGATCATCACTTCACAACGGCTGTAGTCTTCTCTCACTTTCCTCTCCTTTGCTGCTGATATACCAGACACACACACACACACTCACACACACACACACCCCTGAGCCTGCTGCTCCATCCACTCACTGATAAGCCTGGAGGAGGAGCAGCACAGATTAGACTGACGCACGAGCGGAGGTTAAAATGAACAGTGTTGCCACAGATGAGAAGCTTCTACCTTCTCAGGATGGGTTCAAACAAAATAGATTCAATTATGTGCTCTAGAAAACTGTGAAGACTCCAAAACAACAAAGTCCAATTTAAAAAGATGCTTTGTTAAAATTTGTTCACACACCCCTTCAAGTTGCAGGTGTGGACTTAAAAACATTTTGGGGACATTATTGTTTTTATTCTGCAGTGGCTTGGTGATCAGTGTGGTGGTCTTGTAGTCATGAGGTTGTGGGTTCGAGCGCAGGTTTTCATTCATCCTTTATTTCTACAGGTTAATCCCTTTGAGCCTCGGGGACTCATTTACAAGAGAGACCTGGTTTTGTGTCAGGAACGGCATCCGGCGTACAACAATGACCGAACCTCTCATGTGAGTTTGCTTTCTGTGGCAACCCTTGAAAAAGGGAGCAGCCGAAAGAAACTAATTGATTTTTTAAAATTAAATTAATTAACATAATTCTGTTTGCAAACAATAATTTGGTTAAAATATTTAGTTTCAAGTAAAAGGCTAGATTTCTTACTACAAAGATATATATACACCTTCAAAGCAATACTAAATTCAAATTGCACATTTCTTTGACAGCAGCAAAGTAGAATAAATGAACAATTAAAAATCACAACCTGGATTATCACTTGCACATGATTTTAGTTTTAATAAAGGCCATTTCTGGTAAGTTTCCATTTCTTCGTTTTTAGTTCAGTCTGCATTCACATTAGTTTTTATACTTTACAACAACCCTAGATGAGGTACCAGTGGTGTGCACCGGTACACAGTTAAATAAAACACTGGAGTCAAAAATCAAAGCAAGTAGTAAATAATTCAGTCATACAAGTCGACCGGTTCTCTTCTTAGTTCTCTCTTCCACATGAACACATGTCTGTGCTGTCAGTAACATGACACGGAGCAGACCATGATATACATAACACTGAGCTGTAAGAGCACCTGAGCAGAAGAGGTCATTTACCATGAATCAAACAAAAAAAAAAGCCAGGGTAAAAAATCCTCTGTACTGACAGCAGTACTCTATTATTACCCAAGAACGAGCACTCTCCTCCACGTGGAACTATTTATAATAACAATGAGTCATTAAATGTTAAAAATGTGAGAAAACTTTAGGAGGGTTTGGCCACCTGTTATAAAACTGTGAGTGATTGGAGAGAAAAACTGAATACATTTGTAGGATCTGTACTTTTCTGTGATTCTATTTCGTTCATGTTTATGTTTGTTCTTTTCATAGTTTATTTTTGTCGTTTGGCTTTGGTTGTGTTTTCTTGTTCAGTTTAGATCTTGTATTCAGTGTTATAATTCAGTGTTGAGTTCAGTGTTGTAGCTGGAGCAACAACACCACCAGCCTGATCCAGGAAGCTCATCAGAGACTCTCAGACGGCTGAGACGAGCTGGTCTGGAAGCTCAGTCCTCACCTCCTTCTACAGGTGTGCAGTGGAGAGCATCCTGTGCTCCAGCATCAACGTGTGGCATGGAGGCTGCACAGCTGCAGAAAGAAAAGCTTTGCAGAGAGTGGTGAAGGCTGCACAGAAGATGTTGGAGTCAGTCTCCACACCATCACAGACATCTACACCTCCAGATGCAGGAAGAGGGCCACCTGCATCATGAAGGACCACACTCACCCAGCACACACACTTTTGCCCCACTCCCCTCAAGAAGGAGGTTGAGGAGTATTAAGTGTAGAAACACTAGACTGAGGAACAGCTTCTACCCTGAGGCTGTTAGACTCATGAATCTCTAACTAGAATAATCACTGTGAAAAACCATATCATGTTGCTGCTGATCTGTTTCATGTTGCTGCTGAACTGTTTCATGTTGCTGCTGATCTGTTTCAATGTTGATGTGTTCATGCGTGCACATCTGCTCACAGACTCATGTTCATGTTTGTGCTGATGTTCAATGTTTTATGTTATGAGTGCTTAGTGTATATTTAGTTGATGTTTTTCTTAGTTCATATCTTAGATGTTATTACTGTTTTTCTTTTACATTTTATTGTTGGATGTAACTGGGACCCTGTGTACATAATTTCGCTCCACCACATGTACCACATGAGGTGAGAATGACAATAAAGAATCTCTATAATAAATAAACAATGAAGTACTATGTGTCATCATCATTGCATGTTCCCATTCAGAGACGAAATTGGCTCTTTGCATTTAACCCATCGCACATGGATACACCCAGGTGGAGCAGTGGGCAGCTGTGTAAGTGCCTGGGGAGCAATTCGGGATTAGGTGTCCTGCTCAGAGACACCACAAGATGTGCAATGATGGGGAATCGAACCCAGGACCTTCGGGTCCCGAGTCGGCTGCCCTGCCCCTACGTTAGGGTTTTATTTGCATATTCTAGTTTAGGTCTTGTTTCGTTTCCCAGTGTTTCTTCCAGTCACCCTCAGTAAACCTGATCAGTGTTGGTCCAACCAGCCTGCCACCTTCACCTGTTCCCAGTCATTCAGCCAGGTGTTCCCACTCTCACTCAGACTGTTATTTAAACCGTCTCTTTTCACCGCCTCATTGTTCTGAAATGCTCTCCGACCTCTTGGGCCCCTCATGCTCCCGAGTGCGTCCCTGTGTTTCCACTCCTCAGTGTATTGGGGGGGGGGGGGAGGAGTTGTTGCTGTCTGCCTTTTTGTTCAAATAAATTAGTTTTATTTTAACTTCGAGTTCTCTTGAGCCTGCCTGCATTTGAATCCAAATCTCACTGTGATCAAGTTGAGATCAAATTAAGATCAAATTAAGATATAATTCAAACATTTTGTGACTAAATTACAACTAAACATAAATTAAACACCACACAGGAGTGTTGCATGCATGTCATAAATTATTTGAAGTTAACGTGGGAGCAAATGTGCCGTGAGACAGAATTTTTTTTTGTTTCATGTGTAAATTTAAAAAAAAATATTCAGTGTCTTTTATTGCATGAAGATAAAAAATAAAGAAATAAAGAATTGCTTTTTTCAACACTTAAAATATTGACAAACTAGTTGTTTGTTTGTTTTTGTTGTTTTTCTACTCCATTTTTTTCTCCCAGCTAAATAATGTGGTGAATATTATCAAATGCTTTCTTTAAATCAACAAAAATACTCACACAATATTGTTTTAGAACGACAGCGGTTGTTATTTGTTCTATCAATTCCATGAAAGTCATTGATGCAGTTTTTTGCTCTAAACCCGTACGGTTGCTACTTAAAATATATTGTTCAGCAATAAATTCATCTAACCTGGTCATAAATAATGTTTCAAATTTATTTGAAAACCGTGGTAACAAGGATATTGGTCTATAATTATTGAACACACATAATAATAATGATGATGATGATGATGATGATAATAATAACTTTTATTTATAATGCACTTTACATCCACAGTGGATCTCAAAGTGCTACAGTGAGTGAACATCAGATAACATGAAGCATAAAAAACAATCATACAAAGCAAGAGGATAATGCTGCAGAAAGATCACATTAAAAACTTAAAATGCATAAAATGCAGATAAAATACTCAAATAAGAACTACGGGTGCAATAAAAAATAAAAGTACAATTCAATCAGTTAAAAAACTGGGTAAAAAGAAACGTTTTAAAACCTTTTTTTAAAACGTGTCGGATATGACGGCAGGGCGTTCCACAGCCGAGGGGCAGCGCAGGAGAAAGCCTGGACTCCTGTTGTGCAGGACCGAGACCTGGGAGTGAGAAGAAGATGAGTGTTGGAAGAGCAGAGTGGGTGAAGGACAATGAGGGGTGAGAAGTTCTTTTAAATAAGATGATAAGATGGTGCCTTACTGTACAAGCATTGGAAGGAGCAGATAAATTTTGTAAGTGATCCAGGTAGAAACAGGAAGCCAGGCCCCCCAATCCCATACAAGTGGAGAACACCCCACAGTGTACCTCAAGGAACATGGTCAAACACCTTCTCCAAGTCCACAAAACACATGTAGACTGGATGGGCAAACTCCCATGACCCCTCAAGGACCCTAGTGAGGGTAAAGAGCTGATCCTGTGTTCCACAGCCAAGACGTAACCTGCATTGTTCCTCCTGGATCTGAGGTTTGACCAATGATTGACCTTGCTTCTTCTCCAGTACCCCTGAATAGACCTTACCAGGGAGGCTAAGGAGAGTGATGCCCCTGTATTTGAAGCACACCCTCCAGTCCCTCTTCAAAAACAGGGAAACCACCACCCCAGTCTGCTAATCCAGTGGCACTGCCCCCGATGTCCATGTGATGTTGCAAAGGCGTGTCAACTAAGACAGCTCCACAACATCTACAACCTTAAAGAAATCAGGGCAGATCTCATCCACCCCTGGATCCCTGCCACCACAGAGCTTTTTAACTACCTCGACAACCTCAGCCACGATTATGGACAGACCAATCCCGAATTCTCACAACTCTGCTTCCTCCATGGAAGACGTGCCGGTAGG